AGAGCCTTGCACATGCTAAGCCTGGGTTTTACCACTAAGCTATACCATCAGTCCTCTAGTTATCATCTGATACCATTGTCTGCCTATTTTTCTCTGTCTTTGACCAAGAAAAGCACTGACTTTCCACAAATACATGTTTCTTCTTTTTTTTCTTTTTGTTATTCCAATTTTTTTTTCTTTTTAAAAATAGCCTGCTAGAGAACAAATTTAGTAGGTAAGAAGTTTATTTGATGTCTTACTACAGTTAGTGATTTCACTGTGGGAGATGAGATGAGAAATGAAGGTAGTCATGTCCTTGCAGGCTTGCCTCTTTGCAGTCTTGGCTTCAAGTAAGGACATTAGAGGAAAGCATGTATATGAGCTATGGAAATGGGTTGCCTCAATTGGGAGACTGCAAAAACTTCCATTTGTTATAGTTATGCTTGCAACATACTGACATACTCTTTTTTTGAGCCCACTGGGAGCTGACTAGTGATCTGATATCCTTATCCTTATCCGCCTACATGGATATGTGTATCTCCAGTACTTTGTTGAGCTTGAACATTCTTGTCCTCTTCACCTGTGCTGGTGCTGCCTTTAACATGTTTCAGGGACTGCAAAGAGGTTGGCATATGCATAGTAATGGCTATGTAATGGTCTTTTGTTAAGGCATCCTGAAACCTGTGTTTTGAATGCAGATGGAGTGTGTCCTAGGCAATGTAGATTACATTACCTTGCTGTGGGAATGACAGGACTTCTGTGAAATCCCCAAGTGTCCAATTGTTCCAGCTCTCATGAGCAGCCACCCTTGACAAAACAGAATTCATCCAGATTCCTCTGTTAATCTTGTGAAAGGAAAGAGGAAGTGTTGCTAGTGAGTCAGCTGCCTTCATTAGCAAGCATACACATGATTACCTTTTTCAGCCCAGAAAATTAAAAGAGCCTGGAAATTATTCTCTCTTCAATTTTCTTAATAGTGTTCCCTTGTATTTCTATGGATTATAGGTTTCAAATGTCACAAAACATCTGAAGAAAAAAAATCGTCTCTATATTTGCATCACCTTTATAAAACTGAAAGCATTCACAACCAGTTTTGTATAGGAAAATATCAGCACACAAGTAAGATGGCTATTGAAGGGAGGGAGAGACTTTCACCTATAGAAGTGCTGTTGCTGGCTTAAACTGTCAAAATATTTTGTTAGAGCCTTACTGTACTAGATTTTCTGTTTACTCACAATTTTTACCAGTGAACATCTTAAATATTTTTATATTACAAAAGATGTGTTCATGATTATAAGTCAAAATGCATAAAAGGCACAAGAAATTCATATTCTCCTTGTTTTATTTATCATTCACAAATAGGACTTTTATTCTTTAAACAAAATTGAGATCACATTACATTAATTTCTTTTCTCATTTTTTCCTTGCACTGTAAACATTTCTTTATAAATTTGTTTTATTTCACAGTGTGTCATGGACACAACTCCATAGGTAGATCTAACACATTTTTTTTTTAACTTGGCTGTATAAAATTCTATAGCACAGTATATGTAGTTCATTCACATTCTTTTCCTATTGAACTTTCACATTTTTTTCAATGCTTTAATAAACCTCCTTATCAAGAAATTTAAATATCCCAGTTAAGAATTACAGTACATAAATTGAAATTTGTATATCCAATATACAAAACTCAAAGAGAATTAGAAGCTCTTTTTCAACATAAGATTATATTCCTTTAACTTGCATCTTGCTCAAGGAATTGACTTTTTTATTTCATATATAGAGCATTTAAATATTTAAAATAGTGCATCTTAATTTTTTTTTTATATCTGTTGCTATTGGTAAAGCTCTATCCTTGTCCTTGGTACCAATCGAATACCAAAAACACAGTTTTGAGAAAAAAGTAAAAAGAAGGTTTATTGCTTTGCTAGCAAAGGAGAAACATAGGGGACTTCAGTCCCAGAGGTTGTGATTGTGTCCATCAGCAGGAACAGGGGGCTTTTAAAGAGGTGACTCAAAGGCAACAGTTCACGTGTTCTCTGTTGGAGTTGTAATTCACTTGCTCATTTGGGAGATAGTCAATTCTGAGATCTTCTGGTGCCATCCCCAAAGTCTGGATTACTTCAGATTACTATGGTGGGTGTGTACTCAGGGACAGATAACTCTGCCTAGGATGAAGAAGAAAGGTAAAAATAAATTGCAGTGGCAGAGCAGCAACGGTTATATTCAAAGCATAAAGTGGACCACTGTTACATTGCTGTCTTCAGTTTTAAAATTTTGGACTTTGAGTTATTACACAGCTCTTCCAAGCTTATCATGGTCAACTTGTTTGGAGTTACACAAGGAGATGCTTCACATAAATAAACACTTGCTCAAGGCTATAATGTACCATGTGGTGTTAACTGAGGACAGAGTGGAGGCCTAAATATGGAGTCTGCTTCCAAACCACTGTCAGTCACTTGTCGGAAGCCATAGAGAAGAAATCTTAATTAAAAATCAAGTATCATGGCTACAGGGGCTCACAAGTTAATAAGATAGAGAAGAACATGTGAAATGGTAGTAATTTAGAAACTTATCTCTCTTTTTTTCCATACCCCCTGTAATTAAACACACACACACACACACACACACACACAAACTTTTTCCTATAAAAGTCAATGAAAAGCACAATACTAAAGGAGCTGCACATATGACTAGTTGCATATATTACAGGGATTTGGAAGGTCATTTCTTGATAATTCATGTTATTTTTCTTTCAGAGTGAATTGAATCTGGATTTGTATCTATTAATGCCAGATAAGCAGCTATGCAACTTTAGGTGAACTATTTAACCTCTCTGAGCCCTAGTTTTTACAGCTACAAAGCGAGGGTCATATTTTATACTTCATAGAATTATTGGGAGGTTTAAATCAGATAATAGATAATATAAGTGTTCATGCAGTATTGAAAAAATGCTGGTTTTCCTCTTAAAATAACTCAAGGTCTCTAGTAGGAAGATTCTTATTGTTAAGATTAAATAGCATCCATAAAAGGATTGCACAGTACACCTGTAATCCTAGCAGCTCAGGAGGCTCAGGCAGGATAATTGTGAGTTCAAAGCCAGCCTCAGCAAAATTGAGATGCTAAGCAAATCAGTGAGACCCTGTCTCTAAATAAAATACAAAACAAGGCTGGAGATGTGACTTGGTAGTCAAGTGGTTCCCCTGAGTTCAATCCTTGGTATCCCCCAAAAAAGAAGGGTTACAGAATAAAAAGAATGTAGTAAGATGTAAATAATCATGTCAAAAATTGAACATGTTAAACATTTTTATAGTTACAAAGAGTTTCTATTATCTTATCTCATTTGTTTTTTAGCAGAATCTTATGAGCCATAAAGGTCAATTGTTATGCCTAATATATAAGGAAAAAAAAGTGTGACTTGTATAAATTAAATGGCCATTATACACTGTTACCTTACAAGTGTATAATGGAGTGAATTCTTTTTGACTAACAGCCCAGTGCTCTTTACATTACTCCAATCTATTTGTTCTTGCCGGACAGTTGGCAAGTATCAAACAATTCAAAATCTAATGGATTCTGAGATTGTGTCTTTATGATCCTTGGAAAAAGAAGACAACATCTAAAGTAGTAATGGACTGCCTCTTTTCTTGGTCATTTTCAGGATACTCCTGGCTTCTTGAGGACCATGCTAAGCTCAGTATACATTTTTTTAGGTGCTTTGGATCAAATGCATCATGTTTTATGACTACATCACTTTGTTTCTAGCATTTTCTGAAGGTAGCTATTTGGAAAGGACTCCCTTCCAACTACTGTGAAAAGATTGGTTTCCTTTGTGTAGGCTAGGAATCACATGTTCCTAAGCTCCACAAATGCTGAACTCCATCCTTTCTTGATCCTTAGGCCATTTTGTGAACAGATGTAACCTTTCCTCCCACACATACCTTCTTTTTCCCCTTTAAGAGTGCAAATGAACCTAGAAATGGATAGTATATCATACCTCTGTGCTCTCAGTGCCTGGCTAAAAATATGACATATGATAATTTCTTAAAAAATGCTTTTGCTTTTGAAATACTATTCCAAGTTAACTTTTTAGGAAAACTTTTTTTGAGGAAAAACATGTGAAAGAGGATCAGTTTTGAATGTGCCATGACACCTCCCTCCCTCCTTGTATTCATGTTGATCTCTTGAGAATTCTTTCTTGGGGACAATTCCCAGGAAAATAATGGATGCTGAGAAAAGTACTAGCAATTACCATGTCCACTTGAGGGCAAGACAGAGTAAAAGAGGTCCTAACTCTCCCTAACATAAACATGAGTCTATTGAAAACTGACGTCAAGGCCAGAACAGATGGAAGTACACAGCTCTCTGTGGGAAAGAGCCTTTTGAGAGAAAGTAGAATTTCTGATTTTCAAAGAGTAAGAAAAGAGCCTGTTTTGTTTATTCCCACAATTATAGTGATTTGGTTTCAGCCTAAACAAGCACCACAAGCAAATACTGGCAGGCAGAGTCTCTCTGAGAGCAGCCAAACAAATCAGTTTCATTTCCTTCTAAGACCTGGTTTGGCTGATCCATCCATAGAAAAGCAGAACAAAAGGCAGGGCCTACTGCACCCTAATGTTCCAAGTGGCTCATTCAGCTCAGGAGTTATTTATAGTAATCTGGCTCCTGCAGAGGACTTCCTGCTCTGTTCAGCAAATGGAAGCTCCAGGACCAAAGTGGTAGAGCTAGCTGAGGGTGTAAGTGGTGCTTAGATCTGCTAGCTCATTGTGTTTTTTGATCTAGCCATGCCTTTGGACCACTGTGGTGAACATTGCTCTCTGAACAGGCTCATCTTCTTCTTCTTGTGTTTATTCTATTTGTAGATGTTGCTATGAGGACAGATTCATCAAAAATGACTGATGTGGAGTCTGTGGTCACCAATTTTGCATCTTCAGCGAGGACAGGCCGCCGCAATGCCTTACCAGATATCCAGAGTTCAGCTGCCACTGGCGGAACCTCTGATTTGCCCCTCAAACTGGAGGCCCTCTCCATGAAAGAAGGTAGTGCTCTTAATCCTTGCAAAATCATCAATACTCCTGGCTTTTTGTTGTTGTTGTTTCGTTTTTTGTTTGTTTGTTTTTGTTTTCTAAAACCTCTCAGGTCTTGTTTAAAGCTAAGTAGATTTTTCTGGCTTTCTGAAAGAAGACAAAAATTTCATCTTTTCATTTAATAGTATATATGGGAAAATAATATTCTATTTCTTTATTGAATGTATGTGATCCTACACAGATCTAATAGAAATAGAGTTGAACAAAAATGATCCTCCCTTTAAGGAACATACAAAATTGATTGAGAAGCACTCAGAAATGAAATAATTTTCTTTCTCCCATTCCTTAGCCAATAATTCTGGAAGCTTCTGCTTCATTGTCATATTCTACAGTCCTTCCACTCCTTCTACTGAAGAAGTTTATTATCAATTCCAGATGAAATTTTTTAAAGTGAATCATTTTTCAACTAGTAGAACAAGTTAAGAAAACAGTGAGCTGTCAAAGCAAAGATGGAAAATCTTGGATCTTTCTCTTTATTATTTGCATACAGTTCCTATTGCTTCCTGAGTTCAGGCTTTTGAAAATAAAAATAAGGATATTGTTTCAGTCAGCTTTTTCATTGCTATGACCAAAAGACCCAATAAAAGCAATTTTAAGGAAGAAAAGTTTGTTTAGAGGCTCGCAGTTTCAGAGGTCTTAGTCCATAGAAAGGGGGCTTGAGATGAGGCAGAACATCATGGCAGAAGAGTGTAGGGGAGGAAAGCAGCTGGGGACATGACACCAGGAAGGAGAAAGTGAGAGCGCACCCCCCTTCATGGACAAAGTATAAACCCCAATACAACTCCATCCACTCATCTCCTCCATTCATACCCTACCTGCCCATAGTTACCACTCAGTTAATCCCTGCCAGGGAATTAACTGACTGATGGAGTTAAGGCTCTCAGAACCCAATCATTTCACCTCTAAACCCAATCATTTCACCTCCAAACCTTCTTGTATTGTCTCACACATGAGTTTTTGGGGGACACCTAATATCTAAACTATAACATGTATTTTCAATAAAAGTATTAGAAGAAGACCTTCACTTAAATGTGTGGATAAAGATTAGAAATGGGGATGAAGCTTAATGCTAGAGCACTTGCTTGGCATGCATGAGGCCCTGGGTTCCTCATTATCTATAGTAATCTACCTCTTACAACTTGGTAAACCTCACAGGAGGACAATGATGCCTTATAACAAATCAGCACGAAGTGACAGAGGGTGGCATCCCAGAAAACTAGAAAGTCTCAAAATGCCTTTTCTTACCTCCACTCTTACTATTTATTTGATCCATCATTCATCTTAGTACCTACTACATGCTAGACACTCTAAGAGCTGGAGGTATACAAGTGAGTAAGGCAGTCATAAACTCCTGCTGTCCTACATCTTATATTGCAACAGGAGACTTAGATTAGGTATAAAGAAATATATAAATTAAGAGCCAAAGAACTAACTTAGTGGTGTGATACAGTTATTGGGTGACTGTTTTAGGAGAAATTAGGGAAACCCTCTCTGAAGTCTGAAGAACAACTCTATATTTTGAATAACTGAATAATCCTGCTACCAGAAGACAGGAGGTAAGAGGTAAGCTCTGCAGAAGGAGCAGCTGGTAAAATGCTCATAGGGTGGAACCAAATGAATGTTGTCAAGAAATAAGGACTGGTCAACCATGGCTTGAGGGAAGCACATGATGGGGAAGGTTCTACAAGATGACTTTGAAGAGATGAGCCAGTGGTAGATCTTGTGGGATTTTAGAAATTTGGGTAAAGAAATAAACTTTCATTTTTGAGTGGGAGGATTTCAAATGGGGGAGTGAAATCTCATTTGGTGTTTTAAAATATTTACTCTGTTATGTGGAAAATGGATTGTAGGGAAGCAATAATTTAAATAGTGGGATCAGTGAAGCAATCCTCATTAGGAAATCTTTTCAGGCCAAATTAAACATTTAGACTTGCAAGAACACATTGGTACTATTCTACTCAGAGATGTCCCAGTAAAGAAGCTTCAGCAGGCAAGCAGGGAAGTATCATGTAATCTTCTAATTTGGAAGCCCTTATAGGAATGCATATGGCAGACCTGGGAATTGTCTCTTGTGTCTCCTCCTCACGAAGTGAAAATTCAGCTGCAAAGAGACAAGGTCAATAGGAGCAATGGGCTAGAAGCTGAGTCTCCCGTGACCTAATACTCTAACAAGTCCTTGGACACTGCTCTCTACTTCCCAGCTAAAGACATGCTCATTTATGAGAGTCACTGTCCACAGGGAAGCCCAGTGCTATGGTTTCCTACAAGGCACCTAGAGTTCATATCTAGATTTTCTTAATATAGACGTATTTTACCATTTGAGTCATATTTATCATAAGTTTAGAACCAGGCTGACATTATACCTTAGTATGGTTTCCTGGGTAACAGAGCTAGAAAATTAATCCCCAGTCAAGTTTGTCCTTAGAGTAGGAGAAAGCATTTTTGCTAATCTTTACTCAAGGAGAGATTGTTGCATAGTCCAATTAGAGATGATGGCTCAAAATAGTAATGATGGAGAGAGGTGGGTGGGTTAGGAAAAGGTTTTATAGGCAGACTTGCTAATGAATTGGATGTGGTGGAGGTGCCTATGACAAGTCTAAATGGCATATTAAGTAAGCAATTGGATATGAAGGCCAGAGAAAACCATTTCAGATATGTACATTTTTGAGTACTTGACCATGTAATTGTCAAAATATATTTTATACAATAGAGGAGAGTGTGCAAATGAAATTACCCAAAGGAGTAGATTATCTTTCATGGGAGTACATTACCTTTCAATATATATGGAAAAATAATGTAAAAATGAGAAGAGAACTTAGAAAGTCCACCCTTTATGCTTTTATTGGTGCATTATAATTATACATATTCATATTTGCTCCAATTAATTCCTCAGTAATTTCCTTTGCCTCCTCTCCTCCATCCCCTTCCTCCTGTTCCCCTTTCTATATTCTTCTTCCCATATATCCATATATATAATATATTACACATATAATATATATTATATTATATATTAACATATATATTACACACACACACACACATATATATATAATTGGTGTATTGCAATTACACATAAAAGTGTAGTTCATTGTGATATATTCATGCATGTATATAGCACAATTTGGTTAATTTTATTCCTGTTCTTTCCATTTTCCTCTCTTCCTCCCCTCACCTTGATTGCTACCTCAACTCTACTGGCCTCCCTTGTGTTTTTATGAGATCTTCCCGGCCCCTTTTTAAATTCTGTTTTTCTCTATAACTTCTAGAGATGAGAGAAAACACTCAACCCTGGATTTCCTAAGTCTATCTTATTTTACTCAGCATGATGCTTGTTTTCCATTTGCATCCATTTACTAGCAAATGATATGATTTCATTCTTCTTTGTGACTGAGTAGAACTCCATTGTGTATATACACCACATTTTATTTATCCATTTCCCTTCATGCAGGTTCAGTGGCTTGCCCAAACTCACAATTAGGTAATGGTAGAATCTCTGTTTCTAAGGCCATCGCCTTTCCTATTGTATCAACTTTTCTCATGGAAATTCTCTTGGATGTTAATATATCACATACAAAAAATATACTGTGGTCAAATAAATTTGAAATTGCTGGCTTAGCCATGATTGGTGTTTTACCCTTCTCAGAATAAATAAAAACAAGAATTTTTATGAGTTTTCATTGCAGAGATTTTAACATGCACTTGTGCCTATAACACTGTAAGAATGGGACAAGCAGCCTCTTTGCCTCATTTCCTTGACCATCTTTGAAGAAGCATCTTATAGAATTATTGTTCTATGAGTTACTCTGAAAGCATTGCACTACAGGTCATGATCTAACAAGGGGTGGTAAAAGTAATTGACACAAAGAAGAGTAAAAAACAGGGATAAAAATAGAAAAAAAGCGGATAATTCTGATTTATCTTAACCTATTTTATTAAAAGCATAACTCAGTAAATAGTTCAAGTACCTAAAAGATACATCATTGGATTCAGCAAATAATTTTTATATAAAATCATACAGGTTACCACTTACATAAATATAACATTTTTGTTTGTTTTCAAAGCTAGGCTTCTGGAGAATAGAATCAACCCAGATAATTTAGGAGGCAAGATTTTCTTACTTTTCCCAAAGTTATTATTAATTAGGAGCATGAGAATGATAAACAAGTGTTCAATAAGTTTATTCACATTTTAAATGAGCGGAACAAGTTTAAATGGAGAGTTTGATGTTTAAGACTTAGAGAAATTATGTTAAAGAAATGTGTTAAAAGCATTTCATCACGATTACAGAACAATAACAGTAACTATCCTTGGAAGTGCATAATATTATATGCAAAACAACTGTTTTGTTTGACTCTCTTTTTCTTTCATTAACATCAAATACACAGTTAAGAACAATTATAGCCTCTTTGAGTAGTTTGGCATTTTGTTTTATCTCTAATCATCTTTGAATATACTTCTAAGCATCTGCTTTCATAATTCAATGCAAAAAGTGAGACTGGTAAAGAAGGCATTTGGAACTATGTTTCGTATTTTTAGCTGACAACCTGAACAAGATTCTAGATTGTCAACAGATGATATCCTGCTAGTCCGCATCTAACCAGTAATCATGAGTTTCTAGTTCATTTCACAGAAGGGGAACTTCTTCAGGGGCCTTCATATCACTATCACTCAAATTAGATAAAAATAATATTCTTTATGAACAAGAGTATAATTTACTTATTTGACTTAGAGAATAGTCAGTATTCTCTGGAACAAGAATATTAACAGAACTGACATTTCTTCTTAGAAAGTCATAATGCTTTCTAAGTAGTTTGCTCAGAACCAGTGATAGCAAATGTCGCTTAAATCATTCTAGGAATAATCTGACAATTTATATTTCATATGGGTCTAGAGTACCATTTCCTGTCAAGTCTGTTTTCCTGAGGGAGTTCTTTCAATGAACACTTATTAAGCACCAGCCATTTTATTCAGAAGGCAAGTGAGTGTGACAGCTAAGACTCGGACTCTCTCTTGATCCTGATTCTTCTTGCAACTATTATCCCATTTCTGGTTTTGTTTATAACAAAATTCTTAGAAAGACTGTCTGCTTTTGTGCCTCCCGATGTTCTTTGTCCCATTCTTTCTCTAAGCCTAATACAATTACACCACCCAACTGCTATTTCAAGCTCATAAACGACATTGTCTCTGCTAAAATCAGTGGTCCACTCTTCCTTTGCATCTTGCATATCTTTTAGCAGGTATATCATGATTATTGCTTCTTCCCTGAACCATTTTTCTTCCCTTAGCTTTCAGAACACTTTGCCCTCCTGGTTTTCTCTCTGCCTCACTGACTGCCTCTCCTTGGCTTCTCCTTTCTCATCACCTCTGTCTCTGAATGGGTTGGAGGGTACCAGAACTCAGTCTTTGGACATCTTCTCTATCAGTTCTCTAACACTTGTACTATCCAGTTTCTTGGGAATAATGGTCATCTTTCCAGTAATTCAGATTTGTGCCTCTAGCCTGGAGATCCCTTCAACTTCATAGTCTCATATATCTGTCTAGTTGTCATCAGTGCTTACATATCTAATAGAGACTCAAACTTAATGGGTATAAGAGCAAACTCCAGATATTCTTCCTAAAAGCTATTTTCCTCCATCTTCCTCTTCTCAGTGAGTGGTAATTTTATAATTCCAGTTGATAAAATAAAAAATACTGGAATCATCCTTCTCTCCACTCTTTCTCTCACATTTTATATTTCATCCTTCAGCAAATACTATTGAAATTGGTCCATAAAGCTGCCTATAACATATAGCTTCCTGCTACCTCTTGGATTCCATCTTCTGATTTTTATTCTTCACAATGTCCCACTAGGCAGTTCCTTTCTACACATTGCTGCCTTGGACATACATCACTATTGTCTTTGCTTGAAATGTTCTTCTTCCTGCTGTCATAACTTCTCAATTCTACTCAAATCTCCCTTCCCAGAGAACATTCCCAGCTAATCCTATGTAAAACTGCAACCTCCAGCTCCAACATTTTTTGAAAACTCCAGTTTTCCTACCTTTGCTTCAATATCCTTACTGCCATTTCATTTCTCACATAATATACATTTTACTGATTTTGCTTATTGTCCATATCATTCACCAGAAGTTCCCTGAGAGCAGAATTTATGCTCACATACAGTATGTGCTTAATAAATATTTGATGCATACAAGTTGAAGTTCTGAATAGAGTCCATCAACTTTATCTTCAAAGATGCCACCGATTGGCAGGAGCAATTTGCAGGAACTAATAAAGATTTAGTATTATTTTTAAATGGAAGAACAAAAGAGTGTACATTTTGAAGGATGGCAGGGAACATGGTATGTGCAATAATTGAAATTGAAAAGGCGTCTTTGTTAGTTTGCGATGGCAGTGATTTGAAGAAATGAAGGAGCCAGAGAAGGGGAAAGACAGATGACATGTAGTGGTGCAGGGTTGAAAGGGTGGAAGCAGGGGATGATCACTAGTCCACTTCTGGATGAGGCAAAAGGGTTTGGGATCATGAAGTTATTAGGCCTGGGTAGGAGGAGCAGGAGCAGGGCCAGCTACAAAGGTGTGCAACAGGGCAGTTACACTGGGCCCTGGGCTCCTGAGAGACCTGCACTACTCTTGCCATTGAAAGCTTTCAGAATTTATGAACAAGTTTGCTGCATTTTCACTTTTCACGGGGTGCTGGTAAAATACAAAACCAGTGCTTAGAAGTACTTTCCCTGTAATAGGAGGAAGAACATGACGAGTAAGCCCAGATTACAGAGGGTTTTAGAGATTTAATGGCAATAGAGCTCCTATCTGATGACTTTGGTTTATTTTTTCCTGTGAAGTAGAAAGTCGAGTCATCTAGGTCAGTTTCAATGGTACATGCCTGTAATCCCAGTAGCTGGGGAGACTAAGGCAGGAGGATCATGAGTTCAAGGCCAGCCTTAGCAGCAGCAAGCTGTAGTAAGACCCTGTCTCTAAATAAAATACAAAATAGGGCTGAGGGTATGGCTCAGTGGTCAAGTGTCCCTGAGTATCAAAGAAGAAAGGAAGGAAGGAAAGAGAGAGAGAGAGAGAGAGAAAGAAAGAAAGAAAGAAAGAAAGAAAGAAAGAAAGAAAGAAAGAAAGAAAGAAAGAAAGAGGAGTCATCTAAATGCAAAGGGAGTAAAAGGTATGAAGAACCTAGAGAAAACAAAATGTAGCACAGGGAGGTGGTTAAGGTGTGGCTCATGGAGCCATTTGGCTTGGGTCCAAGCTGTCACTCTGTCACTTACTCTATGACTTTGGGCAGTCATTTAACCTGTTTGTGCTTCAGTTTACTATTTGTAAATAGAGATTGTAATCATACCTTAAGAGACGTTCTGACACTTAACAACTGTAGACTAGAAGAGAAAATTGATTAGGAGAAAGTAGATCCTCAAACCTGCTCCTTCATATAGTTTCATGTCTGGATTGAAGACAAAATATGTGCTCGTCAAGTATAAAATGATCAGGGTAGGTAAAGGAAAAAACAACTCTTTTATTAAAGAAACAAAGAAAGAAAGATTATATATAATAAATAAAGAAATATATAAAATATTTCTTTTATAATATAATATAATAAATAAAGAAAAATTATATATAATATAAAAGGTAATATATATTACCTTTTATATTATACATCATATTACATATATATAAATATCAATTTATCTTTTTTTTTCCAGATGAAAAAAAGAAAGATGAAGAAACAACCAAAGACCAATTGGAAAATCCACCAAATGAAGAAAAATGAAGGCTGATAACTAAGAGTGCTGAGTTTATGCACTTTGAAAGACTTAGTGACTATGATTTCCTGAGATGTTTGATCTGGTGGTAACTGTGGTGACATGTGTCATTAGATAATTTTGTTGTGGCGCTATTCATCTGGATTGCAACCATGATGTCCAATGTAGGTTATTAAATGGTAGGTTACTTACAAATTGCACCCAAGGGGAAAGTTAAAAAAGTATGAGCACTTAAATACATATCATTGTCTGTAAACAAAACAAAATTCACTGTCCTCTCATAGATTTATTTAGCCAGATATATGTTAAATTCCATTTTTATGGGGATAGAGAAGAGGTTTATTGACAAGTACAAACCAAACACTATTATTTTAAAACTTTGTAGACTTTGTAGGAAATTATATTTTGGGGATAAGAAGGAATAATAGTAAAAAATCACATAGATGGAGTAAGTTTATTTTTAATCAAAATTGTACCAGATTTTTCCCCACTTTAAAAAATTTTTGAAAATATTGTAAAAGTTTAACAACATAAGCATTTCTAGGATGTTTTTGTCTGATATTTTGCTTCTATTCTGTGCACACTGTGATTTTTCATGTGAATCCTTAGAATGTAACATTTGTGACAAATTGTTTATATGGAATATGCCTATTAAATGACTTTCTCTTCTTTAACTATGATATATGTACATGTGTGTATATTTTATTTTAATGTGAATTATATTAAATCCTTTACTAGTCTCTTTACAATGTCTTTTATTATTCTTAGGGCTTTTGTGTATGTATTATGTGTCTAAATTTCCTCAGGAATGCAGATCTTACTTTTGATATCTTTCCTAAAGTAGCTTAGCAAAACAGTAAACACTTGTATTTGATCTATAATCTAAGTGGAGATAGCAGAACACATGCTTTTAACATGTATTTAAGCACATATTTAAAAAGGATCAAAAACAAACCAAAGCATTAGTAAGTTTTGATTTATTAAGTATTTTATGAAAATAATAAACTTCTGGTTTTTAAAAATGTTGATTTAAATTAATTTATTTTCATTTTCAGATACAATGCATGCAATTATAATTTGTGGACTTAATCTGTTTATGTTAAGAAAATAAACTCTTTCACTAAAGAATTTTGTTGCCAATATAAGTCTCTTCATTTTATGTTCTGAAGTATGCCACATGGGATATGGTGATGCATTCTGAAGGATGAAGTTAATAGTCTTTACAGCATAAATCACCTCCTGCTTATTATTTTATTGACAAATCCTACCCTTAAGTGTCATATTTTCATAGGGATGTATTTCAAATAATTTTGATTGTTTTAAGTTCTCCAATATAAATTTTTTTAAAAATAATATTTTAGGTGCAGTGCTAATTTAATATTCATTAAAATGTATTATAGCCTTAAAATTGTTTTTCTGAAGGTTGATGACATGAGATTGAGTTACAGTATGAAAAAAGATGAGAAAAGAAGGATGGCTTTCAACGTGGGTAGAGAGCAGTATGTCCGCTCTAGGACATTTGGCAATGTTTAGAGACTTGGCAGGCCTGGGAGAGAGGGAGCTACTGGCACCTAGTGGGCAAAGGCCAGGTGTGCTGCCAAGCAGCAAAGCATACAGTAGCCCTATAGGACAGTCCCATAGCATAAAATTACCAGGGTGTTAATAGTGCTGAGGTTCAGAAACTCTAGAGTAGAGTTAAACCTGAAGATTTTGGAATCTGATCACCTGGGTTTGAATTCTAGCTCTGCTAAACTTTAGCTGTGTGATCTTGGGCATTTTACACCATTTTTCTAAGTCTCAGTTGTATCTCTGGAATGGTATTAAAATTAGTGCATACTTTAAGTGGTGGGTGAAAGCAGTAAATGAAATGGCAAAACAATTGAATAATGACTGGTAAAACAATTATTTAGTAAACACTGGCTATACCACCATCATATGCATATACATATATATGTATATGCATATCTCCAAGGTATGAGATATTGACAGAATATTTGCCAACAGAAGAATTCCACCCCCACCCTTAGGAGCCCAGACTAAGCAGAATAATATGCCAGTAGTATTTTAAAGTAAAACTGGGTTCACTTCTCAATAGTTTTATTATTTAAAAAATTCAAGCCATTTGTGGAGAAACTAGGGTACTTTGCTGTAGCAAGTAGTTACTTTCAACAAAGCTACCTCCTTGGTGCTTATTGAAGAATGACTCTGTGCCCATCTTTGCCATTGTCTTTGTACAAGGCACCCACTTTACCTAATAGGTAGAAAGTCTTAATACTGTTAGATAACAAGGCTAAAAAGGAACAATAAAGCTATAAAAAGAGACTATCTGAAAACTCTGTTCAAGGAAATAAAAAGAAGAACATGCTAGAAACCCATTTTGTGTTGTGAATCCTGAGATGTTTTTGTACTCTGGGCAGGAAAGGTTTGAACCCTCTTAAATGTGAATGGCTATAGAGGTAGGTGTCTAACTTGCAAATGGAGATAATGTATTCACTTTCCTTTTGCTAGTTCAAGTCGTTTGAACCTCTTGGACAGATAGTGTAAAAAGAGATAAAGATAGAAAACATAATAAGAGAAAGATGCTTCTAGAGTTTCTAATCTATTGTCCTGTCTATGGAACCTGGCAACTTGAAAGTATTAGCTTTGCCATTTGCTCTGTTTTGAGTTATTTTACTCTGTACTTCCATTTCTGCAATGTGAAAACTAGTGAATTATTACAAGGATTAAATGAGTGAATACTGGCAAATTGAAAAGCTAATGCCTGACACAAAGCAAAAACTGTTATTATTTGCCAAAAAACATAGGGTTATAGATACTTTAGGAAGATTAACTTAGATCTATTGATTGTTCACCACATTGTTGCCCAAACAGATTTTTCTCCTCTTCCTTTACTCTCCTTTCTATTAGTAGCATGCCCTTGGCTAAAAGTAGGGCTGGTTATCAGTTAATTCTCTCTCTATATATTTTGAGTTATTAATGACAACTCTTGGAACATCAAAAATCTGCAGTTAGAAGACAGAAATATTGGCCCAAATAAAGGTTGAAAAAGGAATTGCTCTTATCTGTAAAAAATCCTCAGATGGCTTTCTTATTAAGCACCCATCAACAGGAATAATTATTATAGCCAACCTTGAGTGATTACTGATTACTAAGTGCCAAGTAGATCCCTTTGAAGTTTCATAAAAATAATAATAAAAAATAGTCATTCATGTTTTTCATTTTATTGATATAAAAAATGGATTCTGGGGTGCCCTTGAGAACTCACAGAGAAAAAATAGCAAAGGTGACCAAGGACAGGGCGCTGAGAGCCAAGATGTGCATTGCTTCTATTGCACTAACTGGTAGTCTCTGTCAACACCAATTCACTCAGTTGAGTTTTATTAAATTTATTGGAATTCCAGTTAGAGTTTCTAGGAAAATTGCAAAGCTATATTTGGGAAGTATAAGACATTAGCTGTCAAGAAGCACTCATATCTTAGCACAAGTGATTTTATTCAGGTTTATTTTTTCTTCCACTTTTTCATATATTCCAGAGTAGGATTTAGACAGCAAAGACCATCTCATTTAATTTGCCATTAACCTTTAGGATCCTGAAGGAATAGAAAGTTTGTGAGAAGGCCATGGCTCTTCTTTTTGAAGTGAGGCAGCCCCTGGAAGAGGTAAGGGAAAAAAGTCTGGATGGAAATAAAGATAAGTACCATAGTCAAATTCAAACTTAATTCCTTCCACCTGTGGTCTGGAGCTGCCCAGGACCATGAAAAGAGCACAGTGACATTTTGAGACATTTGTGTTCATCAGCTTTCCATTACTGAGACAAAATACTTGAGAAAATAAACTTGAAATGAGGAAAAGTTTATTTGGGCTCACACTTTCAGAGATTTTAGTCCATGGGCACTTAGCCCTGTTGCTTTGGTCCTGTGAATTGACAGTACATCATGGTGGAGCACATGGGAGAGTGAACCTCATGACAGCTGGGAAGCAAAAAGAGGAAGAGGCTGGAGTTCAACTACCTTGTTAAAGGGCATGACCCCAATGACCTAGCTTCCCTCCACTGGGCCCCACCTGCTAATGGTTCCATCTCCTCCCAGTAGTTGACCTTTGGAGGACATTCAAGATCCAAATTACAGCAGAGAGAACCACAAAAGTATCCTTATGAACTAACTCCGAATATTTTAAAAGCGGGACCTCATAGGCAACTAAGATAATCTCATTGATTCTCTGTTGGTGTACTTTAGGGAGAAGTACTATTTTTCAATATTGAGGGGGCGGAGAAGCCTCTGAAGTGCCATCTGGGACCAGGGGGTGGGGGTGGGGTAGACTACTGTGGCCTCAGTATGACATTCTTCCCGAAGCAAGACATTAAGAAACAAAAGTCTTTCTGCCCTTGAGAGTCTAGGGAACTAAATTTGGCAACTCTGTGAAACCGCTCATAGTGCTTTAGACATATTAGGCATTCAAATAATCCTGCTTTATCATAAAATTTCACCTAAACTCCAAAATTGGATTTCCAATAGTGGAAGGAATTTGATTTTTGAATCTTTCCTTTCTTTGATGTCCTTCTATTGTAGAGTACAATAGAAGAAAAAGCATTGAACTATTGGTCGATATATGTATATTTGGTTCTAGGATTTTGACTTACATTTGACCTAAATTGACTATGTACCTTTGGGTAAATTATTTTGCTCTTGGTGAGTCTTCACCACTAATGTGTGAGAATTCCTGAGCTGACACTAGGGGGTGCCCTCACCACATCTCTTACCCACAAAAGTCCAATTTAAGTCAAGTTTGCCTGAGGTTTCCAGCTTGTGTGTTTTACTAACTCTGCTACAGGAGTTGGTCAAGATTATTGCAAAAACAAAACAATAACCCCAAAACTGCAGTATTTTCAAACACGTCTCTCTGAGAGACAGTTTAGAAATGAAATTAAAATAGAAAGTGTTCTAATCCCTGGCTAGTGTTTTTTGTTTGTTTTGGTTTTGTATACCAAAAGAGGGTGTTGCAATACCCTTATTCAGACTATAAGAGCTATGACTTTTTCTTCTATTTAACAAAGTGTTTCTTTTTCTGTATAACAGAGCCAACTGGATCCAATAATAATAATAATAATAATAATAATAATAATAATAATAATAATAATAATAGATAGCTATGTACAAATGTTTTATTCATTAAAGCCAAATTACAAATAATTAGGAATTCTCTAAAATCTTAACAATTCAAAAAAGGCCTTTGATGTCTTTCAAGTTAAAAGTGTTACTTTCATTCATGACTTTTAAGCTTTGAAAAGTCCCTGAGAGCTTAAACCAAAGTAAATGGTATGTGAATGCGTGGCTTTATTCTTGACTTAATTTAGAAGATCTTCTATTACATTACAGTTTCCCCTTCTGCTTTGGAGAAGGATGGGTCACATAAAAACAGAATGGAGGTCAATTAAGTGATTATTCCCGGTCTTCCAAGGTCAGGAAGGGAAATTGGGAACATTTTTTTTCCCACAAATCTCACTGTATATTGTGTGGGAAAGTTGATGCACAAGGGGTCGCTGCCAAGTAGTTTTGGCAAGGAACTGCTGCTGGTAGGAGGCTCTGGGCACAGCTTCTGGTATCTCTGGAGTCTTTTCCATGGACAAGAAGATCCTTGCTTAGTGACAGGCCACATGTGACAGTGAGGGAAGGGACAGATA